AGGTTTGAGTTTGCCTATCAGGTGCAAGCCTGAGAAGCCCTGTGGGGGCAACAGCTCAGTAAGGGTAGCTACAGTTTGGCAGGTCTTGAAGCACACAGCTCAGGATTAGATGAAGCCCACACAGGCTGTCCAGGAATTTGCATGGAACTCAAGCATAAAAGTTGTTGGATGCGCACCTTGAGCTTGAAGGTAAGTGGGGTGGGAGGATATAAGAAAGTGGAGGCAAAGAGCTTTGGTCCCTGTGGAATCGACCCCAGGAGCCCAAAGGCAGGCTGGTAGACACTGAGAACGCAGACAAACGGAAACATAACTAGCAACTGATCCCAGCCAGATCTGACCGGATGCCAGCAGGAAGAACGCAGACAGCAACAGGCAGAGAGGCATGGAAGAACAAGGCCAAGTTGCTTTGATGTTAATCTGATCAATGGAGTTGGGGGTTCCTGTTTTTGGATTCCAGCCTAGAGTCTGAAAGAGAAGAGAGTGGATACGCTTGCCAAGAGCGTTCCTCGTGTAACGTGCACAGGCATGTTTGTTTTGCTTCAGTCTCACCAAAGTTTTGCTTCACTTTCGTTCCCCTAATTGTTTCAGCAGGGCTGGTTAATCCCAAGAGAGCAATCTGGGGAACAATGACACCTACTATCCAAGCTACTATAACTGCAGTAAACTTGACACATGGTCCTAGCAGGGGCAGCTCTGTAATTATTATTTCCTTCCTCTTCCAAGAAAGACACCTGGCTTTCTATAGAATCCGGACAGGCTAAAGACAGACTGCAGTGGACACTGAATTGTTACCACAGAAGGTATTTACTTAGACCCAGGGGTGTGGGCCCTGGTGTCTGATGATTCTGCTTTATTGCAGAAATGTCTGAAGCAACTGAAATACAAGGAACAGCCTGACTATTAAGAGAACAGCAAGTCGCAGAAGAAGAAAATCTACTTTATGGCAGCGAAACCAGGTGAGGAATGTGGACCCTTTTTGGTTCCCTGCCCCAGCACCCTACTCTCTCCGCTAGCCAAACCTAGACTTAGAGGCCTCTATTGGTATCCAGTCACCTCCTTCCAGGCCCTTTATCCACACTCTTACCTGACCAGCGGAGGTCCAGTAGCTAGGTGCCTGTGCCATCTGCCTTAATGGACCATCTGCTCCCCATTTTTTGAGACCAGAGGACTGCTTTGCTCTATTTGTCATCTGTCCTGATCCATTTCATTTTCTATGATGGCTGCCTACTCCTAGACTGAGTTTTCTGTTCCACTTTATGCTGATCATTCAGAATTAATGCCACTACTGACCAGTTCTTCTTCCCTTTGCCTGGCTCATTATTGATGGAGCTGCTTCTGCTGTGTACCTCTCTCAGCAGATGTCTTCTTAGCTGTTGGTTGGGACCGTTATGGCCTTAAGAAAAATCTAGCAAGTCAACACCATCAAAATATAGTACATCTCATTCAGTATTCAATATTACTATTTAGGAAAGTAGTAGGTTGCAACTATCAATCCACTGTTCCTTTCTAAGAACAAAATATTACCTTGAATATAAAGAAATATAATTTGAATATAAAGAGGGACTGGAGAGATGGCTCAGAGGTTAAGAGCCCTGTCTGCTCTTCCAGAGGTCATGAGTTCAATTCCCAGGAACCACATGGTGGCTCACAACCATCTATAATAGATCTGGTGCCCTCTTCTGGCATGCAGGTCTACAGACAGACAGAACATGGTATACACAATAAATAAATAAATCTTTAAGAAAGAAATATAAAGAGTATAATTTTTTTATCATCTTACAAAAATCAATGAAAAATTTACAAGTAATAGCTCTGCTTTGGGGATTGAATCAAAGGACTCTGAAAGTAATAAAACGATAAAAAACAGAAGTTGTAGAAACATGAAAATATATTTAAAACATCTAAGCATCATTCATTATCAATAGATATAATCCAAAAATGTGTAGTTACTTATAAATTATTCATCAGCAGATATGTCACCTTTCTAGTTGAAAATGTCCAGGAGAGATTAGTAATAATTAGCAACCACTTATACTTTATGCTGGAATAACAACAAAGCCCACCTCAAGGTAGCCATGCAAATAATTATGGGGATGGGCTCTTGCTTTCTCAGCAGTTTCTTACATGTGAGAAATTAAAATAAACTTGTACCAAACTAATTCTTATAACATTGTGACTATCCTATAATGTTACTCAGAGAAGAAAAAAAAACCCTACTTTTGGAATTTTAATTACAGGTTAAATAATTACTATTTTTGCTTTTGTGAAACAGCAGCTCCACTTACATTTGGACTTCCATACCTGAAAATCGTGTCTGCTGCTAACTTTTTCTTTTATACTCTGAATGTAGTCTTGTAGGAATACTCATTGTTGAAGATTCATTTTTTTTAATTTTTGTTTGTTTATTTATCTATCTATCTATCTATCTATCTATCTATCTATCTATTTATCTATTTATCTATTTATCTATTTATCTATTTATTTATTTATTTATTTATTTATTTATTTATTGTGTGTGTGTGTGTGTGTGTGTGTGTGTGTGTCCCTAAGAAGGTCAGAAGAAGGCATCAGATCCGCAGGTGAGAGTTAGTAGAGGTTGTGAGCCGCTGGATGTGGGGACGGGAACTGAACTCAGGTCCTCTGGCAGCAGCTAAGCCTTTTAACTGTTGAGCTATCTGCTGCATATTCATTCTTTATTCCTAAGGTTCTCACAGTTTAGTGCTTATGGCCTAATATCGAATGGAGCGAATGGCTTGCACTCAAAATCTAGTATATACACTATAAACTTTCTTTTACTTAATTTACTTTCTTGTTAAAATTTTTACTTTAGATTTTTTTTTTAATTTTATGTGTGTGGATGTTCTGCCTGCATATATGTATGTTTGTGTCCTGTGCCTGGTGCTCTGGGAGGCCAGAAGCGGGTATCCAATCCCCTGGAACTGGAGTATAGACTGTTATGAACTACTATGCAGACTTGGGAATCGGACTCAGGCCCTCAGAAAGACCAGCCAGTGCTCTTAACCACTGAGCCCCTTTATTTTACCAATCTAGAATTTCTTTTTATACAGACAGTATTACAGAAATATTATAGTCCAGGTAATGAGAAAACATTCACAGTTTCATACTGTAACACAGCAGTATATATTTTCGAAGACGTAAGCCCAGTTTGCCATCTACCTTAAATACAGTACACAAAAATAAAAGTCAACACTCTCAAAACAAAGGTTGTTCTCGCCCAGAGTTAGAAAAGTAAGACAAAGAAAGACTGTCTTAGGTGGCACGATTCAATGATATACAGTCCCATACTCTGTGAAGCTTAATTTCCCTTACTGGCCAGTAATCATTTGTTTGATTTTACCATCCACATTTACACATACAATGCTCTCAAAGTCACCATGGATTCTGGGATGATATCCTCATATGCCTACAGTGACTGTACAGCTGAGGTTACCCATGAGCAGAACGTGCAGATTCTGTTTGAATGAAACCAGGATTTAAAAACAAAACAACAACCAAACCTGAAATTAACCTGAAATCTGTTATAAGTGTGATGAAGGGTGGAACACGGGAAAAAGCAGTACTGGGCTATACCTGGCATTCTGCATCAGATTTCTAAACTATTGGTGGTTAAAATGAAGTCTAATTTTAACTCTGTGATGATTTCAACAAATTAGATTTAGTAAATAAATAAATCAGTAAATAAATACTAATAAATAAATAAATGAGTAAGCAAACACACTATTATTATGTATCCATATTTTCTCTAAAAACTAGACTTTAAAATTAAGGCAAGATGAAAAAGGTCAACATTTTTAGGATATGTGGACAACACAGTGGTTCTCAATGTGTGGGTCGCAATCCCTTTGGTCAAACAAGCCTTTCACAGGGGTCATATATCAGATATCCTACATATCAGATGTTTACATTACGATTTGTAACAGTAGCAAAATTACAGTTATGAAGTAGTGGCAAATAGTTTTATGGGAGGAGTCACCATAACATGAGGAACTGTATTAAACGGTTGCAGCACTAGGAAGGTTGAGAACCGCTGTTCTAGCATATTTTAGGGGCTATTGAAGTAGGAAGGTAACTATGAAAGGAATGCAGTAAGGAAGACTTGGTTCTAAATTTTAGTCAGGTGGTTCAAACAGAAAATAAAACATCCCAACGACATAGCAGATGTACAATCACTGGTGTGACTTCACTTAAATTCTGTCTTGAATTTTGTTATCTTGACCTACTGCTAAAAATAGTTGTTATTCTGGACTTTTAAGTGCTAGAAAAAACCCTGAGCTCCATAAACTTGCTGATTATTTAGGTTATTGTTCCACTACTCCCCAGAAAACCAGCTGACATAATCCAAGGATTCTTCAGGGTACTGGGAACTGTGTATACATAAACACATACAGACACACAAAAGGATACAGACATACACCCAGAAACACAAACACAGTCACACACAGACAAACACACACACACACACACACACACACAGACACACACACACACACACACACACACACACACACACACACACACACACACACACACACACACACACACATGACCTCTGTGCTGTTGGTGCCAGGACTGAGCCCAGGGCCTTGTGTATGATAATAATATTCTCCAGCTGGGTAGGTCTTTTTATTTTTATTTTACTTTTTTTAGGTTACTGCTTTAGCATTAGGTATTTTTGAGAATTAAATTCTGAACTTAAAAATGTCTCAATCTCGTCTTTTAATTATATTAAAAACTAAAAACAATCCCAAGCACCGCATAAAACCGGTGTGGTGGTGCATGTAAAGGCAGGAGGATCAAAAGTTCAGATTACCTTCAGCGTCATAGCAAGCGTCAGGCGAACCTGGGATACATGAGACTGTCTTTAAAACGAAAAGAAGAGAAAAATGGGCAAATAACCCAAAGGAATCTTACTTCTCCTGTGTCTTAAGCACACCAAAATAAGACACAATGAATAAATAAACAAATGAATAAGTTAATACCTCAGATAGAAAGGTGACAAAGGTCTTTCATCTTCCTGTGAGCTAAAAGGAAAAAAAAATTTGAATCAATGTAATTTATACTAATAGAACATATAAATTTTACTAAAATTTCTTTCTTCCTGTCACAAATTGTGACATATTCTACTGATCTTGTATTGGATTTAAGTTAGCAAAACACTCTCCCTACGACCTAGCCAACATCAATTACTTCTCCAAAAAAGCCAGCCCATCAGATGTATTTTCGGATAAGCCTATCATGAAAGTAATTCATATCACACTTCAAGAAGCAGCTTTTACTACATTTTCCAACAAGTCTAACTGAAATATTCATATATTATGCAAAACCATACAAATAATTACAGAAGAATTACTTTAACAAAGTTAATTGCAAAAGCAAAATAAATGATGAAATATTTCTGTTGCTTATGGACTATCTCAAGAGTGATTTCCTAGAAGTGAAAAGCCCGTCCCTGAGGCAAATCTCGTTATTTGTTCTTCTGGTGTTGCTCTAGTAAGTACAGCCTGCTGCAAATAACAGGGGAGAATGCAAAGAAAGTTCTCTCAGACAAAATGGAAATAAGAGGACCCTTAGTATAAAGGCATTTAATCTTTAAATGTAGAATACATGCTAAAATTTTCCTTAACATGTTTTTCTTCCATGAAACTACCTTTTATTGTAAACACACAAAGTGAGTTTCTCCTACTTACTCATGTTCTTAAGCATCATTCATGAAAATGGAAATGTTGGACTCAATTGACAATATTAAACTGAAAGTAAACAAGATCTTACTATTATGATGTAAACTCCCCCCCCCCATCTCTCTCTCTCTGTCATGGTCTGTCTGTCTGCCTGCCTCTGCCTCTGTCTCTGTTCCTCTCTCACACACACATTGTTCTAAGAGTTAAAACATGTTTCATTCCATCTAGAATAGGATATGTACAATTTGGCACACTATTTTTCAATCTCCTATGATTTTTAGTTTTCAGTTTTAATCTTATTCACTTGTTTTATTTTTCATGTTGTCAATAATACTACTTTTCATAGCATTTTTGTGTTTCATGAGCATAGGCACACACACACACAGAGGCATAAATAAGCTGCGCTGATTCTCCCCATACCACTTCACTAATGTGGATGTGCTAAGGGAAGAGCTGGTACCATTCAGCTTTAACATTTAAGAGTTAGAGGTCAGAGGGAAAATTTGGATTGGCTGGGATGAAGCTTCCTGAGGTAGTGAATTTACAGGGAACAACTACTTTAAGCTAACTGTACACAAGAAACTTTCACTTTTGAAATCAAACTTCATGATTTCCTTATTTTTTGTTGCTGAGTAATATTCCACTGTGTAGATGTACCACAATATCTGCATCCATTCTTCAGTTGAGGGGCATCTGGGCTGTTTCCAGCTTCTGGCTATGACAAATAAAGCTGCTACAAACATGGTTGAGCAAATGTCCTTATTGTGTACTTGAGCCTCTTTTGCATATATGCCTAGGAGTGGTATGGCTGGATCTTGAGGAAGCGCTATTCCTAGTTGTCTGAGAAAGTGCCAGATTGATTTTCAGAGTGGTTGTACAAGTTTACATTCCAACCAGCAGTGGAAGAGGGTTCCCCTTTCTCCACAGCCTCTCCAGCATGTGTTGTCACTTGGGTTTTTGATCTTGGCCATTCTGATGGGTGTAAGGTGAAATCTCAGGGTCGTTTTTATTTGTATTTCCCTGATGGCTAATGACGTTGAGCATTTCTTTAAGTGTTTCTCTGCCATTCGATATTCCTCTACAGAGAATTCTCTCTTTAGCTCTGTTCCCCATTTTTTAAGTGGATTACTTGGTTTGCTGCTTTTCAGCTTGTTTAGTTCTTTATATATACTGGATATTAGCCCTCTGACAGATAAAGGCTTGGTGAAGATTCTTTCCCAATCTCTAGGCAGTCGTTTTGTTTTGATGATGGTGTCCTTTGCTTTACAGAAGCTTTTCAGTTTCATGAGGTCCCATTTATTGATTGTTACTCAGCAATGAAAAATAAGGAAATCATGAAATTTGCAGGTAAATGGTGGGACCTGGAAAGGATCATCCTGAGTGAGCTGTCCCAGAAGCAGAAAGACACACACGGTATATACTCACTCATATAGACATGTAATATAGGATAAACCTACTAAAGTCTGTACATCTAAAGAAACTAATCAAGAGAGAGGACCCTGACTAAAATGCTCAATCCCCATCCCAAAAGGCAAAGAGGAAGGACATCAGAAGAAGAAGAAAACAAGAAACAAGCTAGGAACCTGCCACAGAGGGCCTCTAAAAGGCTCTGCCCTGCAGACTATCAAAGCAGATACTGAGACTTATGGCCAACTGTTGGGCAGAGTGCATGGAATCTTATGTAAGAAGTGGGAAATAGTAAGATCTGGAGAGGACAGGAACTCCACAAGGAGAGCAACAGAACAAGAAAATTTGAACACAGGGGTCTTTCCAGAGACTCATACTCCAACCAAGTACCATGCATGGAGATAACCTAGAACCCTGGCACAGATGTAGCCCATGGCAGTTTAGTGTCCAAGTGGGTTACATAGTAATGAGAAGAGGGACTGCCTCTGACATAATCTGATTGGCCTGCTCTTTGATCACCCCCCCCCCAGGGGGAAGCCGCCTTACCAGGCCACAGAAAATGACAATGCAGCCACTCCTGATGAGATCTGATAGACTAAGATCAGAAGGAAGGAGAGGAGGACCACCCCTATCAGTGGACTTGGGGAGGGGCATTCGTGAGGAAGGGGGATTGAGGGTAGGATCGGGAGGGGAGGAGGGAGGGGCTTATGGGGGATACAAAGTGAATAAAGTGTAATTAATAAAAAAAAAAGTGTTTACAGGCCAAAAAAAAAAAAAAATCAAACTATTCCTAGGATACACTTGACAAAACAACTGGGCTTGTTTACTAATCAAAGACTATATCAAAGAAATATTATGGCGAACATTGTGCCAAAAATCTACCAGTATAAACCTGCAATGATTTCATGTTACAGGAGAGGAATAGGTGCCATGTGTTGTGAAGTGAGGGCTGCGAGTCTTTCTTAGATCTGAAGAATTCCTTAACAGTAACATTAAACAAGCTATGCGTGTTCATTCACTGTGATTCACTAATTCATTAAATTAGTCATATTCTTTTTTTTTTTTAAGTGCTAAGAGTTTGCAGTCATGCCCAACCTCCTGATAATGTCTTATGAAGTTCAAATACGAAGTTCACATGAGACTAATGTAGTGGAGTTAAAATATCAATCACAGAAAAAGACCATTTTCAGTAACTTTATGATTTTGTTTTGAGCCACATTCACATCTAGCCACATTGCCAGATGGTATAGGGTTCTGGACAAGGTTGTCCCTGTGCCGTCCACTACTGCTTTTGCAGTAACCTACTTCTTTGAAACAAACAGAAGCAGTCTTTCCTTTCTTTCTTTCTTTCTTCCTTCCTTCCTTCCTTTATTCCTTCCTTCCTTCCTTCCTTCCTTCCTTCCTTCCTTCCTTCCTTCCTTCCTTCCTT